ATGGGATTTGGAGAGAGCCTCGTGGAGTAGGTGGTTTGTGCGGGAGACAGCAGAACGTGTTTGCCCCTGGACCTGTGTGGAGGCGGTGTGAGAGCTGGAATAAAGAATTGCTGTTTGAACCTACAAAGCTGTGAGTGCCTCGTGATTCTGGTGCCAAGCCGAGACATTGGCCTTGGCAATCACTATTCCCTGAAAGGGTACTGCTTGTTCACAGTCACAAAAGGGATTCAGAGACATCACTAGTTTCTGATCCTCTTTCTGATCCTCTCATTTCAGATCTGCTCAGTTCTCAGAAATTTGTTGCAACCTACCCACCTTTGGGGAATATTCAATGTTTAGAATTGGATAATGATTATTAAATTGTCCATCAGCTTTCTTCTTATGGGGAATCCTTAATTTGTTTTATTGTTCTTTTCTCAATTCTCTTTCAATCCTCCTATCGATTGGTCAACATTAGCAATGATAAATGCAAGGATTTGTTTGTTTTTGTTTTTTTGATACTGGGACTTTACTGGGAATTTAAACTAAGGGCTGTCTATCACTGAACTATATATATCCTCAGACCTTTTTATTTAAGTTTTGCTGAGATTAGTCTTATACTTGCAATCATCTTTCCTCAACTTCCCAAATTGCTGGGATTATAGGTGTGTGCCACCATACCAGGCTAAGTGGACAGTTTTGTTTGGCACATGGTACTAATTTAACTCCACCTCCATAGCTTTAGACACCTGGACACATGAAAGAAATACAGAAGGACAAATAAGGACACATGACTCAGAGACAGGGAAAGTATGTACGGCATTACTAGGAGGGAAGGGCCATAGAGGGATTGACAGAGGTCAGTTCTAAGGAAAATGAAAAGCATTAAAACAAAATAAAATAAAAGAATGCCTATAGCAAACATGGTAGAGTGAAATGGTTTTCACTTCCCACCGCCCCCCAGGCATGGAATCTTATTTTGTAAGTCTATGATGAATTATGTAATCCAAACTCATTAAAAAAATGTTTTTAGGTGCTACGGATAAAGCCCAAGGTCTTTATGCATTCCAGGATCTACCACTAAGCCACCCCCAAATCCCTCAACCTCATTCTTAATGCTGTGGTCTAAATGTTTGTGCCATCTCAACATTCAGATGATGAAGTCCTAACATCTCCCAAGGTGGTGGATAATAGGAGATAAGTCCTCTGAAAGGTGATCAGATCATGAGGGTGGAGCCCTTGTGAATGCAATTAGTGCCCTTACATAAAAAGCTCAAGAGAAACCATCAACTCAATAAATTGTTGTTGTTTATAAGTTATCCCATCTAAAGTATTTTGTTATAGCAGTCTGAATGAACTAAGACATTTAGTAACAGAACACTGAATTAACTTAGGATAGCAGCATGTCCAACCAAAAGAAGCATTGCTAGCTTCCCAGACAGAGTAGAGTTTGTGACTAAGTATGGCTATTAAGATATAAGTGGAAGTGACATGGGGCTTCAGCAAGTCTGTTTAATTACAAAAAAGTACATCTTTTTTCCAATTTTTAAAATTTCTGCTGATGTAATGACTGATTTCAAACAGCCACTTTGGATTGTGAGAGAGACAGGGTCCTTGATGCTGAGATCTATAGAACCTGCAGAGCCATTGCAATGGAAGCCACAAAGACTGTGTATCTCTAGACTTCTAACATAAGAGAAACTTCTACCTTGTCTAAGACACACAATTGGGGTTTTCTGAACTTACTACTAACTGACATATTACTCTTGGCCTCAAAGAGGTTAGGATCCAGACAAGAACACTTGGCACGATGTAAAGATTTAACAGAAAGACAGATACACCTAAATCTATGCAGTTATTGGAATTATGAAAAATTAAGTTGGAAGAAAATAGTGTGCAAAATTCACCAGGGAAACTAACTCATTAAAAGCAAAAATATAAAATGCTTACATGAACCTGGAGTCATAAGAAGAGGTATAGAAGAAGGTACATAAGGCTATTAATATTGACTACACGTTTTGATTTTTACTCTTTTTGCAATTACTTTTGCAAGTAATACTTCTGAGGTTTAAATAACCTAAATAGAAGACATTTTTAAATAAAAGGAATAATATACTGACTTATCTATGTTGATTTTTGAAGGCGAAATTCTGTGCATTTCTAGGCCCTTCAATACCTGGAGTCTCAAACCCAGGCCACTAATAACCAGATGTGGAATTTTGGGGAAGTCACTTAAACTCTCTAGATCTTTGTAAAATGAGAATGTTAATAAACTCAGGGTTCCTTCCAACATCTAATTCTGTAGATTTAATCATATTTTTATTATTTATTTTTTAGTTGTAGATGCACACAATACCTTTATTTTATTTATTTTTTATTTTTATGTGGTGCTGAGGGTCTGAACCCAGTGCCTCACATGTGTTAGGCAAGTGCTCTACCACTGAGCTGCAACCCCGGCCCAATTTAGTCACATATTTGCTTCAAAGAATATTTTACTGCCCTTCTCAAATCTGATTTCTACATATCCAAAAGTTGTTAAAATGAGTTAGTTAGATAGTTCTTCTCTATTTCTAAGGTGTGATTTAGAAGAACAAGTCTAGTAACTCCAAATGCCCCTCTTTCCCTGTGTTTTCATAATGACCCTTCCAAACACGTAACCTGGTATTTCTCAAGGTGCTGTAAGTTGGGGGTTTGCACGTCTGTTCTGTAGGTTCTCACTCCCTGGAGTGGGGTTAGTGTAGAGATGTATCACCCTGGTGCCATGCAGTGAACTCACTATATAGTGCCAATTAATACAGGTTTGCTGAAGAAATGAGTGAGATAAAGATTTATGTAAAAAGTCAGATCTTGGGAGGAAAAGTCGATGACTGATAATCTTGTGACTGATGACATACAATTTCATCTCTTTTCCTTTTCATCTACATTAGGATTTTAATTGATTTGTGGAATATTCATTAATCACCAAAATTATATGAATTCTAGCTAATTTTGGCAAGCTTTATTGGGTTTTTAGGTTATTGTTGGATTAACACAGCCATCAGGAAAAAACAAACCACTACTTTCATGCTAGGATGGACAAAAAGATTTTGTTCTGTTTCTGGATTGATTCATAGACTATACATAGGGTACCTCCAGCCTGTTCTGGGAGATCAGGCAAGAGGATACGAGGATCTTAAGCATGGTTCACCTGCAGGATTGGAGGAACTTTCTTGCACCTGAAGTCTTTGTCTTGAGGGGCAGGGGTAGCTAGGCCATCGACATGAATGAAACCTAAAGATTACACCATTTTCATGTTATCCAGTATACCATCTGAATAAATTTACCCTGTTTCCTAAAATACCCTCCTAAGGAAGAGCAAATAAGAACATGACAGAAGGCTCTTGGCCAATCATAAACTCTGCTACTTCCCTATCCTATTCCTGGGGATTGCCTTTCTATTCTAGAGTGAGTCCAAGAGTAGCTTCTGCCCAAAAGACATTTTAACAGAGATGTCCTAAAACAAATATCATTTTGAACCCCTCAGGAAGAACAGGAGGTGGTCATGGAGACTCACACCAGTTTTAGCCATTTATAAATAGAGATATTAGGTGTTAAAAATAAAAATTGGGTCATTAAATAAAAATAGATTTCAATAAAGGTAAAATATCAGTATCAAAGATCATACCGCAGTACCCTGGGGTTCCACATACTGTCTTCATGAGCACTTGATGTTCCACAATTTTAGAGAGTCCAAAATCAGCTATTAACACAAGAAAAAAAAATTAATGAAGCAAATCTTTTCTCAGTTTTTATAAATACTTTTTCTTTTTACCAAAAATAATTATTTATTTGTTTGCTTTTGTATTTGATGGTGGGGTACACATGTGTGGGGGACAAGTCACCTGAGAGGAAGCTAAGGAAAAAAGTCATTATTTAAGTAGGAGAAAAATATGACTCCCTAAAAACATTTGCAAATAAATTCATATTTAACCTTCATTCTTCTAAAACATTCCAAGCTTTTAGCAAATAAGCTATTTTCTTAAGCAACTATTAATTAATAGTTGTGATATTTTGTCTCTTGTTATTAATTCTGAGATTTATGTGACAGTAACTATAAGAGATGATATAGACTTAGTGGTATCATTCAGAATCTTCCATTGTTGAAGATTAAAAAAATTAGATTTTCATAAATGTCGTGGAAATAAACAGAAATATCAAGACATTTTCTGACTGAAGAGAAATAATGTCTGACCTATTATATTTGACAGATAATAATTTACTTTCATATGACAAATGTCTTTTTAATGCAAAAATCCTTTTTACTTAATCCACAAAGTATTACCTAAGTAACATATTATCAAAGGTGCCACCATTGTGATCTCTTGCTGGGCTACATCTCTTTCCCAGGAAACAACAGGAAGCTGCTCAAGGCCACTCTTTAAGAGAGGCAGGTGCAGAACTGAAACCATTTTAGACTTCAAAGATAAACCCACATTTCCAGGGAGGTGCCTGATCCTTATCAGCGAAAGCAACAGGAAGCCCTTCAGAAAGAAAGGCTCTCCTGCCTAAATTAGTATCTATCCCTCCTTTTAAAGAAATTTCTTGAAGGATCAAATCTTTGAAAGGGATGTCAAAGGAAATGGAAACTCCCTGCTGTCTGCTGCCTTTCAGGAGTGATTATGAGAACAGGCTTACTGCCAGCAGGACTTTCAGGATTTTTTTCATTACGTTCTTGCATTCATAAGGCACATTCTGTTGTCTAGGCTCTTCCCTCATAGAACAGCTTGATTTTCAAAGTTGGTAACGCTTGTGAACGCAGTGAACACGTCAGCTCAGCGCTGTGACAGTCAGCACCAGAAATACAATGACTTTCAGAGGTTTTAGTACAAATTCTGCTAAGGAGAATTCGTGTAAAGTTTTAAAAAATTTTTGGAAATGATGATTTGTTTAGGAAGGTCTGTGGAAAATAACATTTAATATATCATTTCCTAATACACTGATTTAAATTTTTCTTTGGGTAGATTGGAATTTCTCAAAGTTCATCTTCATATTCCTCCAAAATGTTTATTTGGGAAAAAAAGAGTCAAAAAACTTTGGGGAAATCCTTGTAGTGCACTATATGTCAGTCTATTCATTAACATTTTTTAAGGGTCTTGGAAGTGCTGCAGAAATACAAAGCCTGCTTAAGTTTAAGTTGGCATTTTCTAACTTATTTGACCAACCATAACACCTCTGCAAACCACTCAAACCCACGCACTCCAACAAAAAGGTCTTATTCGCTTTTATTTACCTTGCCTAGGCACCAGAGTTCATGAACTACATTTTGGGAAAATCAGACCTTAATTTATATCTGGTTATATAAACAAGTGTCTCAGAGGCCAGATTCATCAATATGTACTAAGCATTTTGAATCAAAGTTCCTGATTATCTAAAATTAGACTCCAAATAATTTGTAAAATAGGAATCAATAATCAAAGGAAGCATTAAATCTATCATTTTTTTTCCGCTTATAAACTTATCTACAAAACACAAGGTCATCTCCTCAGGTATGTTATTGGTAAGGACCATAATTTCTTTGTGTCTCTAACAAAGAAGCACCAACTTCTAGCACTGATTTCTGGATTAACATTCCAGGATAAAGTATGAACTTCTAAAACAATGCATATTCCTCCAAAATTCAAATTAGGGATGGAACAATATTTTAAAATTCCACAGAACAAATTTCTTCTGCTCTGGGTAAAGGGGTCATGAAACATCAGGAAATATTCTCACCGATTTTGAGTGGTGCATCTGGGGCTGGTGTTGCATAGAGAAGATTTTCTGGTTTGAGATCACGATGTACAATCCCATTTTCATGTAGATACTGCATAGGGAAAATACAAAGTACATTCATATAATTCTATTTATGTTTTCAACATAATACTTAATCTTTTAAGAACTATCATAATTTTATGTTATGCAATTCAACAACACACTTTATGATTTCAAAATAAATATCACAAAGTGATATTGTTTTAAACTATATACATTAACAAATAACTTAAGAGAGCTTAGGGTTATAGCTCAGTGGTAGATGCTTGCTTGAGGCCCTGGGTTCTATTTCCAGTGCTGTCAAAAAAAAAAAAAAAAAAAAAAGAAAGAAAGAAAGAAAGAAATATTTGCTCCTCAGAGAATATCATCACTCTCTTTAGGCATATTACTATATCAATGGGAATTGTTTTATTATTATTGTAATAAAATCAAGGTGCTGTGAATTGAAATTTGTCTAGTTTATATCTGAAAAGCATAGTTATATGTGTGACCTTAGAAACTCACACCTATAGCAAAGATGTCATAATTATTGTTTGTCAGACTTTTAGATATGAGTAGCTATTATTTAGGACTCTCTTTAATAGCATAAATATTACTCCATGATGATGAATACTCTCATAAACTCTTCTGAGAATTAGGAGATCTATTAATATGGAAATTAAAAGTTATATTTGAGATGAATCGTAAAGATTGCTTCTAGCAGCTATACTCATTTTATTGCAATTAAAATGTTTGTAAAATTCTGTATAATCACACATGTAGCATATTCTCATTGTAAATGCTAAAGTCCTACATGACCTCTGCTCCCCATTTCTAGTTCTTTCTTCAAACAGAACCACTCATCAATTTAAACTATTTTTTCATAACATTGGTTTGAACTTTTTTCTATGCATTTATAAATGTAAATATATGCATACATACAAGGAAATATACCTTGTTTTCTCAATTTTCTTACTCAAATGTATCATTTATATTATTTTTAACTGCCTTTTCCCCTACTTAATACATCTTTGAATCATCCACTTAGCACTTCAGCTTTTTTTATTTAACTTTTATACCCACTATGTTGGATGCATCATGATTAATTTTGTTATTCCTCTTTGATGGACACTCAAGTTTATTTTGATTTTTAAAAAATTTACAAAAAATGCAATGATAAACATTTTAGCATTTGCATATTTGGGTAGTTCTGCTGGCATTTTTTTTTAGGACAGGTTTGGTAATTGGGCCAAAGTTACACGGAGTTTTTATTTTAATATACACTGAAAAATCACTCTCCTAAAAGACACCATCAGTTTTCACTCACAAAACAGCTGTGTGTGTGTGTGTGTGTGTGTGTGTGTATATATATATATATATATATATATTCATATATCAGGTCTGGTTCCTTTCTGCAGAGTATCTCTCTCTATATATATATATTATATATATTTAAATTATTTTAAAGTTTTAATTTCTCAGTTTAAACCATTACTGCAGTGAACAATGCTGTATGTAACTTATATAAGCAAAGGCTTATATATGTATATAATTACTGGCTCATGCATGAAAAACTGTTAATATTATAATATAATAATATTATAATATAATTATATAATATTATAATATAACTATATATTATAATGTAACTATATATTATAATATTATATTATATAATATAATATTATAATATTATCAGTTTTTCATGTATGAGCCAGTAATTATATATAATTGATAATATTATAATATATTATATAACTATATATAAATATTATATTATAATAATTATATATAATTATTATAATATAATATTTATATATAGTTATATATAATATTATATAATTATATAATAATATTATTATATTATAATATTATCAGTTTTTCATGCATGAGCCAGTAATTATATATATAATTATATATATATATATATATATATATATATATATATATATGCCTTTGCTTATATAAGTTACATACAGCATTGTTCACTGCAGTAATGGTTTAAACTGAAATATTAAAAGTTTAAAATAATTTAAATATATATAAATATAATATAAATATATATTATATATGATATATAATATATACAATTATTATATATATATATAATAATTGTATATATATATATAGACTCTGAAGAAAGGAACCAGACCTGAGCCTCCTTGAAGAAGTCCTGCATGGGATGTGTTCCCTGTAGGAAATACCACCTGAGCCTCACAGGAAACAGAATGGGAGAGTATTGACAAAAGTAACAGTAGGCAAATGAAGAGCCATTCATTGATTACTCAGAGAAACTGGGCTGAGAGAAATGCCCTACAACAGAAGTCCATCAATGTGTTTCAAAGTGGAAAAAGCAACAGGCACTAGTAACCTACCAAACCCAAGGATCACCGATGCTGGACCACAATTGTACCAGTCAGGTAAAATCTATCTTTACCTTTGGACTCCTCTTCCCCTTCAAAACCCTCACATCTCAACCCTGAAAGGACCACAAACAGCAGCTAGCTGTTCAAAGAAGAGCAAGAAAATTCAAAGAGAATTATCAAGTATCCTTATCCTCCATATTTACAAATTATAGATCTCTAAGTTCTACTGTGGAAGTTTAAAATTGGATGTAAATCTAAAATTTTGGCTTTTTCCTCACTCAGAAGTGATTGGGAAAGCTATGGGAATGGCCTGAAGTTTTATTTGTCACCAGAGCCAGGAGATGAATTTGCAGAGTGGATTTTCCAGAACAACAGTAAGAAACATAAAGTTGTTTTTGCTCCTGTCTCACTAGGTTTAGCTCACATATTATATTAAGTAATTATCACATATAGGTAATAGCTTACATGTAGTAAACTCTTATTGTTATCCAAGCACTATTATTAATAGCTTAGTAACTTACTTTATCCTCACAACAGCTCTATGAATTAAGTCACCTAATGTTTGTTCTGCAAATGAAGAAACTGAAGCACAAAGAGGCCAAGAGATTTGTACAATGTCACAATTAGACATTGTGGTTGGGATTCATTTAGGCATTTGGCAGCAGAGCTCACACCGTTGCCTATTATGTGATTCCTAAGGTACTGGGCAGAAAATTGATTGCTTCAGGGGAAGGGATGAGAGAAGATAAAAATGAAGAAGAGGGCAGAATAATGGAGGGGAAAGGTAATGAGAGAGGGAGGAGAAATGTGAAATGAAGAAATGATAGAAGACTATGGTTGGCCTTGTATGATAACCAGAGAAAGTCGGCCACATTCTTTTTTTTTTTTTTTTTTTGAAAAAAGAATGCTTTTAGTTGTAGGTGAACACAATATCTTTATTTTATTATTTATTTTTATATGGTACTGAGGATCAAACCCAGTGCCTCACACATGCTAGGCAAGTGCTCTGCCACTTAACTACAACCCCAGCCCCATATGCCACATTTCTTAACAAGGAAAATATCATATCTTGATACCAGCTGGGTTGGGAAGGGAATATATAAGTACCTCATATTTCTGAAAAACACCTAAAAATTGCACATTTGGGCATCAACATTGATTTTCTCTCTAATTTTACCTAACTTGGAAGTTTCATTCCTTTGGAAAAAAAAATGACACAAAAATTAGCAACATGATAACAACAAATGAAATGACCTGTTAGGTTTTGATTTAGGAAAGTACTTATTAGATGAAGATTCTCATGAAATATTGTTCTGGCTTTCTTGAAGAGAAACCATGGTTGTATTCCAGGTGCAAATGAAATAGACAAACGAATAACAACAAACAAAAGGAAAGAGAATATGGGACTCTATGAGGAGAGCTAGAGTGGATTAACAAGAAGGAATGTTTTAGAGGAAAATATAGAGTTAGGAGCTAAGTACTATTAGAGGAACAAACTCAGAAAAAGAAAGCAATGGAATGTTAAAGATCTTAATTTTGGCTTTTAAACAGACCTAGGATAATTTGCCATAAATTACTTGTGTAGAAAGGTTACCAAAAGGTATGCTGCAATGTGGGGAGAGGCATTTATATGTTTTTGACAGGAAAACAAAAATGGCATTCACTATTTTATTTAGTTTACAAGTAGGCCCATAGAATTTCTAAACTTTACATTATATGAAATGAGGAAGCTAAGAATGAGGAAAATGTGGAGTATGATCTTTTATTTTCCCTCAGGATAAAAAAGTATCAGGAACAGCATCAATCTTGGAGTATAAGTTCTCAAGAAATGTTTATATTCCTTAGGGTTAAAAAGAGCCTTTGCTTCTATAAGTTACATACAGCATTGTTCACTGTAGTAATGGTTTAAACTGAGAAATTAAAAGTTTAAAATAAATTTAAAATTTTGTCTCCTTTCTTTCTCTCTCTCTCTCTCTCTCTCTCTCTCTCTCTCTCTCTCTCTCTCTCCCTCCCTCCCTCCCTCCCTCTCTCTTTCTTGCTTGCTTGCTTTTTTGGTACTGGAGATTGAATTCAGAGGCATTCAACCACTAAGCCACATCCCGAGCCCTATTTTGTATTTTATTTAGAGACAGGTTCTCAATCAGTTGCTTAGTGCCTAGTTGTTGCAGAAGCTGGCTTTGAACTGGCGATCCTCTTTGCCTCAGCCTCCCAAGCTGCTAGGATTATAGGCGTGCACCACCATGCCTGACTAAAATTTGGTCTTTTTCTAGGACAAAAATTAGTGAGTGGAGTGACATTCTTTCACAGCTTTGCAAATTTCATTAATCTCGGGCTTAATATAGGACAGCTGGATTGTCATGTCTGCTTCTATGCCAGGTCTATTGTAAAATCACACATACAGCCTCTGGGAAATTCCATCATACTCTAACAAGAAAGAAGAAATGTCTTTGCACTATGATAAGACAGTTTGAGATTTTTTTTTTAAAAAAGTCCTCCAGAATATATTTTGAAAACTTCTTAAGCACTTAAAGACATAAAAAGAAGTTTAAGAGTTGAATAATAAGCATGCTTCCTTTTATTTTCAAACTAGGTTTTATGAAGTATAGACCTCAAATGTCATGTAGCACTAATTTTAAATGCTCCTCAAAATTGTATGATTATGGGAAATTATGCACAGGTAATTTATAATATTGTATTAATGACATAG